CCCCAAAACCCCAAAACCCCAAAACCCCAAATAAGCCTTAAAATATTTAACATTTTAAATGAACAAAAAGTATCCAGCGCCAAAGGACTATATACCAGAGGAAATTATTGATGAGTTGAATGAAGAAATTAGTATGTTCGAATCGGCACAAAACTAACTTTTGCAAACCTTAAATCTCCTTACAATTATGGGATCCAACAGAACGGAACTAGAAGCGAAGGAACAGACAATTAAGAGATTGCAGAAAGAGCTCAATGACAAAAAGCAAGAGGTTAATAGAATGAAGGACCAGAGTGAGAGAGACAAAAAGGAAATCAAGAATTTAACACAAAAGTTGGAGCTTGAGAAGAGTAAAAATGAATTTGCTTCGGAGATCTTGAAGAACAAGACACAGATGGAGAAGGACTTTGAACAAAAGAAGTGAGAGATGAAGAAAATGATGGAAAAGGAGCTCAAGATTAGAATGGATCAGATTCAAAAGATGCAGGATTACTGATTGGGACAGAAGGAGGAGAACTCTAAGAGTGGACCCAAGAGGAAAAGAGAATCTAAGGAGGTCAAGAAAACTAGAAGCAAGAGGTAGGATACTTCTAATAATGCCTATCATTTGTGTTTTATGCTAAAACTTTATGAAGATAGTTTACACTATTAAAATATCTGTCTCCAAGCTCCATTTATGCCATGATAATATTACATTAAATAACTTAGATAGAGGAAGATAATATTTCGGTGAAGCATCAAAATAATTAGAAAATGTTTCTCAATTTTTTTAAAAACAGCTGTAGCCATCTATAAAAATAGACAAGGTTTTAGAAATTAGCTGTTGGCAGATTTTACCAATGCAAACTTTATAAAGGCTATTATAAGCCCCAAACCATGGATGATAATAATGTCGTTTACTTTAATGTCATAAAATTCGTAAAGAGTTAAATGTTTTATTTTGTTACATCAGGTAATTTTACCTGCCAGCTTTGCTCAACAGCTATAGATATATTTAGCCCCTACTAAACTTTGGATATAGACAATGCTGTGACACTGAAGTTTCCCATAAAGCGAACTCAGCTTTAAAAACAGGAGACTCTAAGCCCTCTAAATCATCTGATTAAATCAAGTCAGATTAAATACTGGCAAATTAGATGGATGGAATTAAATTTCAGAAATAGTTCCAAAATATCCTATTTTGTGAGCAAAATAGAAATTTATCCAATCCAGGGCTCTTTGAGCTGACTCCTCTTTCTATGTCACCACGTAAGCCCTAAACCCTTTATCCATCTTTTCCGCTAGTAAAAAATTGAATGTTTCAACTTGAATCCTGTTTCTTGGGGTTTTGGGGTTTTGGGGTTTTGGGG